TATATAGATACATATATGGGCCTTAGCTAATCCTAACCTATAGTACAATCTCAATATTTACATATTTAACATCCCCCCTCAAACTCAAGGTAATATCGTGGAGATCAACTTGAGTTTGCTAAGAAGTAAACAAAAGCGACCGGGAAGGAGAGACTTTGTGAAGACATCTGCTGGTTGATCTGTAGAGGAGACGGGAACAAGCTTCACAGTCCCATGTGCAACATGTTGTCGAATGAAGTGACAATCAATCTCAATATGCTTGGTGCGCTCATGAAATGTATCATTATGAGACATCTTTATAGCACTCTGACTATCATAATGTAAAGTAGTAGACGACGACTGAGGGGCACCAAGATCAGCAAGTAGTCGACGTAACCATAATAGCTCGGAGGTGGAATCAGCAAGAGCGCGGTACTCAGACTCAGCACTCGATCTGGAGACTATGGTTTGCTTCTTACTACGCCAAGAGACGAGTAAATCACCCAGAAAGAAGCAGTACCCAGTAATGGAACGACGATCAGTAGGATCTCCAGCCCAATCTGCATCAGAATAGCCGCTAAGTGTCAAGGAAGAATGGGCAGAGAAGTGTAAACCATGCAATAGAGTGCCCTTCACATAGCGAAGAATGTGCAACACAGCTGAATGATGCGTGGTTCTCGGAGCAGCCATAAACTGACTCACAATATGAACAGCATGAGCTATATCAGGCCGAGTGACGGTCAAATATATCAAACTCCCAACAAGCTGGCGATATAACGTAGGATCCTCAAGAAGAGAGCCATCCAGTGGAGTAAGACGAACATCATAATCAAGATGTGTGGAAGTTGTCTGACAATCTGTGAGACCGGCCTGAGCAAGAAGATCAGAGGCATACTTGGCTTGAGACAAATAGAATCCATCAGAGGAATCAGAAATCTCAAGACCCAAAAAATAACGAAGCTGGCCCAAACTTTTCATCTCAAAATGCTGACGAAGATAGTCCTGTAAATCGGAAATACCAGTAACATCATCTCCTGTGATGATCATATCGTCAACATAGAGCAGCAAAATAATAATCCCAGATGAGGAGCGCCGAAGAAACAAAGCAAAATCGTGATCACTCGTAGTGAAACCAAACTGAAATAATGCAGAACTGAACGTGGCATACCAGGCACGAGGAGCTTGTTTCAGACCATACAAAGCTCGACGTAGACGCCAAACCTTCCTAGAGGACAAGAACCCCGGAGGTGGAACCATGTAAACCTCCTCAGGTAAGGCACCATGCAAGAAGGCATTCTTGACATCTAACTGCAGAAGAGACCATCGACGAACAGCAGCAACAGAAAGTAAACACCGAACAGTAGTAAGACGAGCAACCAGTGCAAAGGTCTCTTCACAATCGATGTCGTACTCCTGTGAGTACCCCTTAGCAACTAGACGAGCTTTGTAGCGCTCAATAGAACCATCTGAATTTGTCTTGATCTTATAAACCCATTTGCATCCGATAGGTTTCTTTCCAGCAGGTAGATCCACCAAATCCCAAGTATGAGTCTTCTCTAACGCCTGCAACTCATCAGCCATAGCTTGTTGCCACAATAGATCAGCACTCGCCTCACGAAAAGAGCTAGGTTCATGATGAGATAGTATGGCCGAATAACAATGATAGTCAAGTAAGTGAGAAGGGGGACGACTTACACGAGTTGAATATCGGTTATCAATGGTAGGTGAAGGGACAGAATCAGAAGAGGACTCAACAGGGAGCGTCAGTTCAGGATGCGCAGGTGGAGCCACTTCAGAAGACGGAGGCGTGACAGGCGTGTCAATGAGCTGTGAGTCAGGACAAGTATCTGGAAAGAGATCCGAAGTAATGGACATGAAGAAAGGGGATGGCGAATCAAACGGAATGTGAAATTTAGACAAAGAAGAAAAAGTAGTATGCTCCCAAAAGGTTGACGCGAAATACGCAACCGATTAGCAATAGGATCCCAACACCTAAACCCTTTGTGTTCTACCCCATAACCCAAAAACAACACAAACGAGCTCGAGGTTCTAACTTGGTCCGCTCATGGGATGGGAGAAGAACAAAGCAAGCACAACCAAAAGGACGTAACTGAGTATAATCAGGCGACTGGCCGTGCAACCGTTCAAAAGGACTGATATCGCGAAGAACTGATGAGGGTAACCGATTGATAGTATAAATAGCAGTCAAGGCTGCCTCACCCCAGAAACGATCAGGACACTTAGCAGAAAGGAGAAGAGCACGAACAGTATCAAGAATGTGACGATGCTTACGTTCAGCTCGTCCATTTTGTTGAGAAGTATAAGGACAGAAACGCTGAACTACTGTGTCCTGATCAGAAAGAAAGTTTAAAAAGGTAGAATCCTTGTACTCAAGGGAATTGTCAGTACGCAAGACCTTTATAGGGCAAGAAAATTGTGTGTGAATCATTCTAGCAAATTGAATATATATGGTGGGCAACTCAGAACGATTTTTGAGAAAATAGATCCAGGTAAAACGAGAAAAATCATCAACAAAAATAACAAAACCGAAAACCATTCATAGAAGCAACCGGAGAAGGACCCCAAATATCATAATGTACCAAACCAAAAGGTTTATCAGCAGTTGACAAATTCTCAGAAAAAGAAAGAGCCGAGTGTTTTCCAAGCTTACAATGAAGACAACTAAAAGACTCAAAATGACCTAGACCTAAAAGACCTTTATGATATAATGAACGAACTTTATTTGAAGACGCATGCCCAAGACGAAGATGCCACTGAAAACTGGACTGATTATCGATGACAGGAGCAGAAAATGAGGAAGAACGAGGGATATGAAGAGACTCAAGCTCAAATAAACGGCCCATCTTGCGAACCGTCCCGAGAAGCCGACCCGTCTGTGTATCCTGAACCTGAACACCAGAAGATGAAAATAGAACATTAAGACCTTGTTCAACCAATTGACCAACAGAAATAAGATTCAAGGCCAAATCAGGAATGCAGTATGTGTCAGGAAGATGTAAAGAAGGGGAAGAAACCAAACCAGTGTGAGTAATATTCATACGGGTACCATTTGCAGTATGTATAGGGGGTAAAGAAATGACGGAAGACGAGGAAGACAAAAATTGTGGACTAGAGGTCATGTGATTGCCACAGCAAGAATCAAAGTACCAATGAGGGTTACCTGCGGTAGCAGACATAGCAGAATTGGAATGGATAACCTGTTTGAGAATAGCTTCTATGTCTTGAAGAGAATAAGACGAGTGCTGAGGCTTATTAGTGACAGCTGCCGTAACCGAAGAAGAAGGGGTCGATGAAGAAGACCCACGAGACCCTCGAGATCGAGAAAATGAACCTCCCGAACGTTGTGACTTCGCTGGACAATTTGGAGCAATATGCCCCAGAGCATGACAGATATGGCACTCCACCTTAGAACAAGTGGAAAAATAGTGACTAGAACTCCTGCAAAGCCGACAATAAACACGGGCTGGTAACTGAGGCTGATGCGACGGAGCGGAAGCGGAAGTAGGCACAGCTAATGCAGACTCAAGTTGTGGTGTCCTAGCCAACTGAAGACGAGTCTCCTCAAAAGTGATCTCTTGAATAGCAGCATCAAGAGTAGGCAGTGGATGACGGTGTAAGAGAGAAGCACGAACAGCCTCATACTCAGGACGTAGAGTCATCAAAATCTGGATAAGATCAAGGTGATCCGGACTAATCTCAGACTGTTGGAGACGATATCGGATAGGCTGAACTTGTGCAAGAAACTCATTGACAGATTGACCCGGTTGCTGCTTGGCGGAATGCAATGTGCTCCAAAGCTGATAATAGTGAGCCAAGCCTGTAGTCTGAAATCGAGCAGCCAAAAAATTCCAAGCCTCCTTTGCACTGTCAAACGGGGCAAGCTGCACCCGAATAGTAGGGACTGAAGTATTACGTAACCAAGTAAGAATCTGATGGTTCTTACTATCCCAATCCTCCAACTTATCGACGTAAGCTGTAAGAACCTGTGGTGTGGGGTTGGGATCCCCAGAAAGAGACAGATGTACAGGTGGCAACACATCACCAGTCACAATCCGCCACAATTTTCTCCTAATTAAAAAAACTCTTCATAGACTGTGCCTAGAGACTATAATTGTCTCCTGATAAGACAACACTAATAGGGGAATGCAAATCCATATGATCCATATCCAAAAAGCAGATCAACACAATAACACGAAACAGATGAAAAAATAGGCAGAAATCGGATCACGAAACCGTCAAAATAGCACAAAATAGAGGAAATTAAAAAGGTCACGAAAACCAAAACCGACCACACCAGGACGTAGCCGACGAAGAGGGGAGTCTAAGGCTGAAAAATCGCGACGATCGGAGCTGGGGGTGGGCCCCACGCGCCAGCTGAAGCTGCCGGCGCTGTCGCAGAAATCGGGCGCGTGTGGGCCTCACGCGCTGCCAAACGGGCCGAAACTTGGAGCGTTTGGTCGCCGGAGGATGCCGGTGATGATGGTATGGAAGGTGAGAATTGACGACGGCCGGAGACGAGCGAAAAATAATAACTCTATATTGGACTCTGAACCTAATCTGATACCATGTGAGAATGTGAAAAAAATATATGATGTATTATTCACAAAGAGAAGTACACATATATATAGATACATATATGGGCCTTAGCCTAATCATAACCTATAGTACAATCTCAATATTTACATATTTAACAAGTTGATTATGCAAAGTGACTAATAAATAATTAGCTTTTTGATGTAGAAAAACAACTTAATTTACATAATTCATCCCAAAAAAGCTCTAATGTGAGTTTTTTTTCTTCTCAAAATTAGTTTTTTTTAATAAATTACTGTCAGACAATTATATTGAAAATCTCGATGGCTGAAGAAATCTCACGCTGAAAAAAAAGTCAGCTTTATATATATTTCTTTTAATTTAAAAAATGAAATAAGCATTTTTCTATTCTTTTCTTGCTACTTTATACGCTCTGTATTGTATAAAGACAACTCGCGACTGTGGTCTATCCTTACGTTTTTTTGTCCCTACTTTCATTTTCATGTAATCAAATCAGCCTTTCCCACACCCACTACTTTGAAAAAGATCAAAAATCCACTCTTTCATTTACTCCACAGATTCTAATTAAAAAGCAAAAAGCTACTAACAATGGCTGCTTCTTGTGTTTTCTTCTCCAAATCTTGTGCTGCTTTGCTCCATTGAAGCCCCCATTTTCTCCTTTTTCAAGCTTTTTGAAGGTAAGAAATGCCCACGTTCTCCTCGATTTTTGCGAATTGGTTTAACCGAATATTTTTTATTTCCCCTGAAACTTGTGAGTAGGAAAATATATGTTTCATTTCTCTTTAATTATTTGTGATTATTTTCTCAAGAAATTTCTGGGTTAAAAAGACTGAATTTTTATTTTGCGTATCCTCTTTTTTATAGTTTCCTGTTTTCTTCTTTTGTTCTTTTATTTTTCCCTTCTATTTGCTTGTGTGTATTCTTTCAGAGTTCATACTTGGTCAGCTACATTTTACACCATTTGAGACCTTTGTTGTGTTAGAAAAACTGATTTAATTTTACATATCCTCTCTTTTTTTCTAGTTTTCTTTTTTATTTTTCCTTATATTTTTTTTTCTTTTTCTATTTGCTTGTGTGTTTTCAGTTTTCACTCCCTTTCTTTTTCTTGCTAAGGTGAATTCTTTTACTTTGTCAGCCCAAACAAACAGATGGAAAGAAAAAATAAAAAAAAAAAGAAAGGAAAAAGTAGAACTGCAGTATGTCTAACTGTGAGCAAGAATGAGAGCATCTTTTAGTTAATTCTTTTGTTGATATTTGAACCTGTCCCTGCATTTAATTCTTGTCTGGTGCATTATTACAGAACACTTGAATTCTTAACAAAGACATTATTAAAAGAAAAAGAAAAAAAAGGATAAATCATTTCAACAGCTCCATTAATCTCGGCTAGATTGGAGGTGTTCACAAATTGACAAAATTGCCCCTATCCCCACTCATCCCCATCTATCTTGACAGAAAATATCTCTTGCTTTGCTGGTCCATAGGGCCTTAAATAGTAGTATCATTTTCCCAGTTGGTCCCATCTCTAAAGCTGTGAGTTTCTAACGAGTACCTCGTGATTGGCATTATAGTTTATATGCTCTGTTGAACTTTGCCCCTCTAAATTAGAGGTGAATTTTGTGCGTTGGATACTGAGTTTTCGAAAGTTTATCTTTCCCACTTCGAAATCTTGAGCAGAATGTATTTTTTTGGATTGACATTTGAACTTCAATTGCACTTGCCACTAGCCGAGACGTGTCGATTTTTGATTGGTCAAGGACCCAAGTGAACAAAATTGCGCAAAAATCAAGTATAGTATACTGATATATGAAGCTGCTTGCTCATTTTGTCATAATTTGTGTGAGTGAATTTAATGTGTTCTGTATCAGTTGTGTTAAGGGTAGGTATATTTTAATGAAGAGTACCTGTCCTAGAATTGATAATACACTGAATGCTTCTTATTTTCATTGAATTCCCATGTTTTCCTCGTGATATTGTCCTAACACTTTACAGGTTTTGTTAGGCCAACAAGCATTTAAGTTCAACTGAAAGGTTTAAAAAACTCCCATATTTACTCTTGTGGCCAGACACTAGTCAAGAAATGCAGACCCCCAAAGCAAGGTCAAAAAGCTTTCTTGGCTACTTTTGAATTTTGCAGCTTCCCAGTGGCATTATTGAGTATAAAGTTTGGTTCTTTCACTAAAAAATTTCTTTTGTTGCAAGTCTGATAATTCGTGTTTTGATTGGATATTTTTTTTTTTTTGCGATATGAGTTATTGCTTGATACCTTGTGTGAATTATTCTTTCAAATTCTGCTGCTTCAATTTTTTTTCTGTAAACATGCTATTTTTTTTGGCTATCTATCTTCCCTGTTAACATGCACAGCTCCTAAATGATAAATCCAATTGCTTCTCATTCTCTCAATACATGACTACAAAGACTACTCTTTTATGGTTGAAATTGTTGAAATTTCCCTAGTAGAGTTTTTTGTTTTTTGTTTTTTTGTTTTTTTTTTGAACCATTGATTAATTTATCTATTTTGTATTGAAATCGTGCAGAGCCAGCTCGTCTGGTACTACTCCACAGAAAAATAACTCGCCTCGATCTTCCGAGGCATCTCAAAAGAACAACACGACCCCACCATCTAAACTGGCTATTACTACCTCTGAAGTTGCTCAGAAGGTTTCTCCACGAGTGGTTCGGCAGCTCAAGACAGGGCCTCGTTATTCAGACCACACTGCATCCTCAGCCAATCTAGCCACTAAGCCACCGAAAGAGAGAAGTCCTAAAGTGGCCGATCACAAATCGCCCAATAGCCCAGCTTCTGAGGTTCTCAGACTAAACTATAATTAAAAGGAATCAAGAACAATTACTGGATTTATTAAATTCGTTTGCAATACATAAGCTGCTGCCTATGAGTTAAGTCTGTTAAGCCAACTTGCCCCCAAAAGAAAGATAAAGATGAACAAAATTTATCTTACTTGCCGGTCCACTTTTCTATTATGTGAGGAGTTTGTTTTGTATTTTTTCAATAAATATACTTCTTTCGGTGTAATTTTGTTACAGAAGAAGCGCACGAGCCGAGTTTCTGAGCTCGAAAATAAATGCACCTTTTCTACAATCACTTTTTTTTCTGTTTGAGAAGACATCGAAAATAATTTGTTTGCAATTACCAGAGCAATTCAAGTTCTTCATTTTAAGCTGCCTATGAGTTCAGGCTGTTAAGCTAAATTGCCCCCAAACAAAAGAAAAGATAGACAAAATGTATCTTACCTGCAGGTCCACTTTTCTATTATGTGAGGAGTGTGTTATGTACTTTTGTATTTTTTTCTTTCAATAAATATACTTTTTTGGTGTAATTATGTTACAGAAAAAGCGCTTGACCCGAGTCTCTGAGCTCGAGAATGACCTCAAGCTCTTGAAGGATCAACTCCGCTCAACCGAAGAACTAAAGGAACAAGCAGAGAAAGACGCCGAGCAATCGAGACAACAGCTCTCAGCACTCCAAAAACAATTCTCCAACAAACAAGAAACCCACACGTCCGTCCAAACCGATCCCGAGCCCGAACCCGAGCCCAAACCAGAGCCCGAACCAGAGGCCCATCAAGAAAACCAAGAAAACGAGCTGAACAAGCTAAAACAGAATCTCTCCGAAACACTCGCCCTCGTAGAGGACATGAAGGCCCAGCTCACCGACAGCAAGGCATCCGAAAATCGAGCCCACTCGTTGGCCCAAGAGACTCTAACCCAACTCGAGGCCGCGAAAAAGACAGTCGACGCCCTCAAGTCCGACGGGCTCCGAGCCGCCGAGGCCCAAACCACATTAGCCCGCGAACTCGAAAGCTCGCGGGCCCGCATAACTTTCTTGGAGGCCGAGCTACTGAAATTGGAAGACTCGGCTGAAAAGGCGAAATCGGAGTGGGCCCAGCGGGAGGCTGAGCTGGAATCCGAGCTGCGAAAATCGAGGTACGAAGTGGAGGAGCTGAGGGCGAATTTGATGGATAAAGAAAACGAGCTGCAGGGGATATGGGAGGAAAACGAGAGGCTCGAGAGCTCGGTTTCTGGTCAAGGGTTGACCGAGCTGCGGAAGTCACTCGATCGGTCGAGAGGGGAGGCAGAGGAGCTGAGGGCTCGACTGGCGGAGAAGGAGGCTGAGTTTCGGGTGGAGTTGGAGGTGAAAGAGAAGGAAAGGAATAGTGTAGTTGAGGAAATTGAGGCGGTTAGGGCTGCTGAGGTGGCGAGGGAGGCTGCTGAGGTGGCGAGGGCGGAGATGGAGGCGGAGGTGAGGAGGATGAGAGTGCAGTCGGAGCAGTGGAGGAAGGCGGCTGAGGTGGCGGCAGCCATGATATCGGCTGGAAATGATAATATTAATAATAATAATAATTATAATGATAATAATGGTAATGGGCAGGTGATGGAGAGGACGGGGTCGATGGATAGTCATTATGGAAGCCCGAGGATTGGGAAAGTGGGGTCGCCTTATGTGGATGATGTTGATGATGATTTGATGAAGAAGAAGAATGGGAACAAGATGAGGAGGTTCGGGTCGTTGTGGAAGAAGCAGCAGAAGTAGATTTTTCGGTAAATCGAGTTCTTTTTTTTCTGTTTTTTTTTTGGNTGAGGGCTTGACTTGACTTGACTTGACTTGACTTCTTGCTGTGATCTGATAAAACCTCTTGTCGTGTTATCGTGTTTATCTTGGCTCATCTCGTGTTTTCATTTTCTATACTTTGAAATGTTTTGCATTCGTCAATCTTGAGAATGATATTGTCTTATACATGAAGTATTTTGTGGAGAAGCATATATGTGCTTGATGAGTGTAGTTTTATGAGGGTTTTTGTGTTGAGCTGCATTTTTCTACGTTGGTCAAATTTGATGATCTCTTTGCATTTGATGCCCGAAGCAATTTTTCACCCGAAAATGCGTATGATATATGGAAACATATTCAACAACTTCAGAGTTGCATGTTTTTCACCTTTCAAATGTGGTTCTCAATTTCTGAATTTCATACATTTTACAATGTAAACTCGAAATGGTGGAAAAATATTGTCAGTCAGTACGAGGTAAATAAATTATTACGAGGATAAAACTGATCAATCTTTGAGTTCGACTTGATGAACTTCATGTCAACTAATGAATATGAGTAGCTAGCTACGAACTATTGTGTCAAATCTCTCGTTGATTTTATACATGAACTAGAACTTCTATTTCTATGCAATAATTGAAAAAGAAGAATGTGTGCTCAATGGCATAATGTTTTTCGAAGCAAACTGATTCATATAGACATGTAATCTACATCATGGATTCATGGTCCAATAACGTGAGAAGTTGTGAGTGTTTTTGTTTATAAAAATTATTTTTATCTCACACTAAAAATCTAATTCAATTTTAATTCAACTCCATTATTCTCAATATTATCAATATAATTAAATAATATCAATCAATCATTTTAAATACCACATCAATTTTAATTCACTATTTATCGAGTTACATAATTTTAACTAACCATCATTTCCATTACATTTCTCATACTTTTACATCAAATCAACTTTAGTTATTTTATTTTAAATATTATATTAATATAAACTCAAAATCATACTAACAATCAATCATACCAATTTTTTCAAAATTAATTATAATTAACCAAAAAACTCGTTTTGAGCGAATATATGTGTATCCAAGCACGCCTCCTATGGTTGCCCCTGAAGTTTCTCAACAAAAGTTGTTATACGAATTGAACTATTAGCGAACATAACTCAGTTTGACTCGTGAAAGTTCGAGCTCGAATATTTCGTTTAATTAATTAATATACAAGCTAATCCAAGTTTGTTCGTGAACAAACTATTTTTTTTATATAAAATAATCGAGTCAAGTTTGTTCGCGAACAGACATTTCATGTGAGTGAACAACCCGTAGATTTTAGTATTATTATTATTAAACGAGCTGACTTGAATAATAATCGAATCGATCTCGTTTCGAAATGACTGAAATAAACCCTTAAATCTCAACAATATGATTCCATATCACAAGTTCGGAAGCCCAATCAGACAAAAGGAGCAAAACCCATTGGGCCCTAAACCGCAAATTTGATTCAAGAAACAAAGAAAAAAGTGGCCCAAACCTAAGATATACCCTTGCTCAGTTGCTCTATATATATCCACCATTGTAGGGTTTTTGTTCTATCTCGTTAGGTCGCACAGTCGCAGTATGCGCCTCAACTCCAAAAAAACATATTTTCTGAAAACTCTCCTTTTTTTTATTCTTCCCGAGATTTCTTGATTCTTGTTTTCTGATGTTTTTCTTTGTATTTTTTGAGGTGGTAATAATATTTTTGTTTGCAGTCCATCTTGGCAAAGCTGATGAGCTCTTGGGTAATGAGCAGCTTTGAATGCTAATGGACTTACAGTAAACTTGTTCACTCTAAAACTGTTCTTAGCTTCTTTTTGAGCTGTGGAGTTGCAGATCAGTAGAGTTGAAACATTTCTTACATCAAATCTGTGTTTTTTCACTAATTTTTAGCCCTTTTTTCTGATTTTTTTAGGAATGGTAATTGCAATATCGACCACAGTTCGATTTTCTTTTTCACCAAGTTTTCAATATTTCTGTCTCATTCTTTTGGTGGGGATAATTGCGAAAGCGCCCTTGATGTTTGGGTTATTTTCAGGCCGGAAAAAAAATTGTTCGTATTGTCTTTTTTATCTTGTTCGGCCGATTATATTTTTGTTTATGTAGTTTTAATTTCTCCTACTAAATGTCACATTCCACCATTATCCAATTTCTGACTAATTTCAATAATTCTGTTTTGATTTTTTTTTTCTTCACCAAATTAATTATATAATTATTATTTTGTAAAACCATTCTTGGCAAATCAGACGATAAACCAAAACTGGAGGATATTAAGCTGCTATCACTAATTAGACTTTATTTGGTGAATTACATAAACGTAGGACATGCATAAAGTTTGTTCGATATGTTTAGAATTTAAAACGCACTAAAAATTTTCTATATTTAATAAACTATTCCAAGATAACATTGATATGAAGTAGTTCATTCTACAAGTTTTTTTTTTTTTTTTCAAAACGATAGAAATTTTATATCAAAAAACACATAAATACATCTAGAACAGCTCAAAAGCCGAAAAGACAGCTCAAAAGCTGAATCTAGTGGGAGGACAGATCCAAAGGATCGCCTAGAACGCACCCACTAACAAAATAACACAATGAAACTCCACAACTGGAGAAAGAGCTCCCCTACGGGAGAAAGAACTCCCCAACGAGAGAAAAAGCTCCCCTACGGGAGAAACACACTCCCCTACGGGAGAAACTACTACAAGCTAAACAACAAACAACACAACACGACAATCCCATTCCCGCAACACTAATGAAATTGTTTGACCGCCACCCCGAATGGCAATCAATAAGCGATCGAGCCCACCCAGGTTAATCATTCAACTCCATCAGTGCCAAAAGACGGGCCTAGGTAAATACATCACAATAACAAAGACACAGACCAACAAACTACAACAAAAAATAAATAAAATGAGAGCCCTTCCCAAGCAGAAAACCACATCGAGTCCAACAATGGCAAGGTCTCGGTCCAGGATCCCAACCCAGAAACTGCAAGAAAACGCCTAACGGAGTCGAAAACCAACGGACCTAACCCTCGTCCAGACGAACAACTCCACTGTCACCCAGAGACGAAGACACCTGGCCAACCAACCCAACCCTGTCCAGCCCTTCCCAGCCCAGCCCAACCTTGCCCAGCACAGCCCAGCCCTGCCCGAACCGGCCCATCCCAGCCCGGCCAAGCCCAACCCTTCCAACGAGCACAGAAGCCCAGTCAATCGATCTCCGGCGAACACGATTCCAAAACTCCACACCCACCCTTCCGACGACTGCGAGGCCAAGGTTCAGCACCCACCGTTAATCGCTGACCACTATGGCTCTAATACTCTGTACCAGGGCCAGGAGAATCCAATTTGGCCAGAATCTAATCTCCCCCCAAACCCTAAATTGGGAAATTGGGGTCGCACCTCGCTCCAAGAGAGCGCCGAAGGCCGCCGCAACGGAGATACCGGAGGAGAACGAAAACCCGCCACACGCTTCCGGCTCCAGAGGCTGAACACCGGAAAACGTCGCGAGCTTCTCCCCGGCGAAAAAGCCCCCTCTAGCGGCGCAACTCTGGGTGGCGAGCCGCGGGGCCCAGAAGAGCCACCGCCGAGCACTCGACGGGCCCTGTCGGGAAGGCAACGAAGGATTTACAGATGAGGGATGCGGGGAAGAAGACGACGGGAAAGATGGATAGAGAGAGAGAAAAAGTGCTTAGCCCGACCAATTTTTTAAATTGAGTGAGATTCAAATTGATAGTTCATTCTACAAGTTGAAATGAAATATTAATTATTCCAAGATAACATTGATATGAAGTAGTTCATTCTACAAGTTGAAATGAAATATTAATTATTCCAAGATAACTGAAGGTTTTTTCTTAAGCAGTATCACGCTTAAATCAAATATAAAGCATGGAGTTGCTTGGATATAATTTTTTTTTTTTACTATAACACATAATTACAATTTACTCAATGGTAGAAAGGGGGAGGTTTATCAAAGGTAGTTTAAATTGTTGGGTTCGCTATATTGTATGGATTAAAATCACAGTGGAAATTATACAATATAATTACCATTTATCAAATAAATATATAATCCGTAAGTAAATATAGTGAATATTACGATCGGCATTTTTTAAAATCACGTAAAAATACGAATTTTGATTTGTAATAAGTAATTTTGAAAATTACCTTTTATCTTGAACTCTTTCTTTATACGACGATGATTGAGGAAATCAATTCCCGGTTGTATGGGACTTTCACCGTCTCTTGTTACTCACCGAGGGATCCAAGTGTCTCCCCTCTAAAAGTATCCACCCTTTTGTAATTCAATCTCGAGAACTAGTTTCTTCGCTAGTAGAAACTTTTCGATTTGTTCAATTAGTATCGAAATATTTATTTTAGAGGAGATTATAATTTTAATCTTTATTAAAATTTTCAAGAACTATTCTTGATATGGAAATAATTCTCTAAGTTCAAGAACACTTCTTGATTTACAACTCTTGTGATTTTTCTCTCTCAATTTTCTTGTTAATACAAGTTTGTCATTTGTACATCACATATGTACACCTATTTATACTAAAACATTTAGATCACAAAATGTCATAATGTATTTTAAAATCATTATTTTATTCAAATTAGATGACATCTAGATCTAAAATGATTTTAATAAAAAAAATGTCATTAGATCCCATCTAATAATATTTTATTTATTATTTTAATCTTTGATAAAAATTAATCAAAATATATTATTTCACATATTTATAAAATCTCCTCTTATTATAATCATATTATAATATGGATTTGAATTTTAAAATCCAACTATTAATTTAGTAATTCTATTAATTACTTAATTAATATCCAAAATACAATTAATCAATCAAATTGATTAATTTAGTATATTCCTTTAATTGATATCTAATCAAAATTAGAATTAATTAAATAATCAAATTATTTAATTAATACTTGTCAATTAATTCTAACTCTTTAGAAATACTAATTACAAATGATCTGCATTCAAAATTGGGTGTGACCTTTTTAGGTTCACTATTAATACTATTAGTGGGTTTACAACTCCTTGTAATTTGAATTAATCAAATTAATTCTTATTCTTTGAATTAACTCCTTAATTTAAGAACCCACATATCATAGGAACATTTAGCAAGTAGCATGAATCTAGTATTAAGTGAATAGCGAGTAAACCTTTTCGATTACAGGTCCATACATGTAAAATCCTTTCGACATCCAATTTTCCGATTAAATCTTGGGTATGATTTAGTCGAAACCCAAATTGATTTAATAACTATGATTTCATTTCAAGTTTAATAATTCATATATGAATCTCTATTCATCCCGCCTTGGCCAAGGACTTTGAATTACAAACTATGAAACACATAGGAAATTTACTTATCCCATAAATGTCGAATCCTTTGTTGGCCACTGACAAACTTCCATTCATATTAATATAATACCATATCCCTTTATACGACTGTGCTAGCAATCAAAAGGATAAATCAAGTAAAATATAATATGCACAAAGTTACTATCGTGCCTCAAGTCTAAGGATCAATCATGTACTATTGTAACATGAAAATTCTTATTCGACATAATAAATTTTCATTCAGAATTTTCATATGGTCATGTTCAGTGAACTTGTTCTTTAACAAGCACCCACATATATGTATTTGCGATTCACGCTAATGTTGATGGAATGCAACATTCTTGTCAAACAAGTATACATCATATGTACAAGTCTTTCCAGATTATTTGATATCCCATCTCGAAGTATCCAACGACTTGGAACTGTATTTAAGATCACAGCTTTAAAGATATGTTCCATTATTACCATCAAATGCGCAACCATGCCTTATAGCCATTAATGATCTAAGGACTTTATCATATGTGCAAATATAGGATAAATGCAAAGTCATAAGATAAAACAATGCCTTAATAATATAATTCCAATAAATTGTTTTTAACAAGTAGAAATAAATCCAATCTGATTGGAACGCCAGGCATTCTACTCCAACATAAATGTCATAACACAACATCACAAACAAATGACTTTTCATTGGAAGAATACACACTCTCCAATGAACACTCCAAAAGCGGATATGACTTTTCATTGGAAGAATACATACTCTCCAATGAACACTCCAAAAGTGAAGAAAAAAACACAGGTTCACAAAACAAACAACACAATAAAAAATACAAAAATAATTAGAATAATGTCCTTTCCACAACAGCGAAACCAAACCGAACAAAACGACGTTGACACCAACGAGCAACCACCCACAAGGCTAAAGACATGTCCAAGTTGCAAAACCAGAAATTGCAGAATACACGCCTAACTAGATTCGTGACTCAAAAACCTTGCCCTGCCTGGATAGACAACCCAAAGACCCGCAACTGGAGATCAACAACAAGCTCCACCATCCTAGCCCCGACGTCACGGGCCTAGGACGCGAAACCTGACCCCGACTTGACTTCGACAAAGCAACTGAAAGGCCCAAAAGCAAAGAAATCGAGAGAAGTGAGGGAAGCGAAATGGCTCGATCTCAGCCTGACCACCACTAAAAGAGATGATCGAAGCCACAACCTTTAGACGTAGACTCGCCGGAAACTCATCGCCGTCCATTTGTCGGTGAAATGCCAACCAATACCCTTCTTGGCGACCTAATATGAGGTAAAATCCAATTAGAGCGAACCTGTCGCCTCACCCGAGAAGAGGAAGCCGCCAGTCCGACGAGCTTTCGAAAGCCGGCCGTACAGCCCGGGGATGGCTGCGCCGAGATGGCTCAGACGAAGAAGTTTTTGTCGATTTGGGGTTTTTTCTATGAAGAGAGAGAAAGAGTTGCTTTTGTTTGGATATGATTCATACACTTTTTATCAATCATATTTGTAATTTAAATGTAATTTAATTCTACTCAATATTATCAATATATTGAATAATACCTATCATTTCTTATTACATATCACATGAATTATAATTTGTAATTCATTTATTGATATAGTTTTAATTATTCATCAATTTTAATCAACTCTATTCTATTTTAACATCAAATTAATTTTATTTTTATTTTAATACAAAATCAAAATCACACTGTAATCTAACTAAATTAATTTTTTAAAATTAACTCTTGTTAATTAAAAAACTCAATCAAAACCTTACATTTTCCAACTCACCTATACATATTTAAACCTCGTAAGCTAAAAATCTTGGTACTGAAACTCTGCCTCGGCTAAGTACAACTTTGGGAGGTCCTTCCTTGGTCCTTTTCGAGCCCTTCAGTGTGTTTTTGGTGGCTCCTGCTCCCTTATCCGGTGTTGAAGTTCTTTGGAGTCCTGATCTAGACCGAGAACGGTATCTCCTTGCCAGATCTATCATCTATATAGGCGGTTCGAGTTTGACTGCAGTTTTTGGATCTGGGGCTTAGATTTGTTGCTTTGTTAGGGTTCTTTGTTGCGGTTGGTCGTCAATTTGAGTGATTTTTTGGTTCACCGACTACGTTTAGGGGAGATTTTATTCTAGTTGTTTATTAAGTGTGTGTTGTTCTTTTGTCTTTTCGTGTTTTTGTTTTGTGGAGTCCAGCGGCATCTGATGTCTAGTCTCCTTCGCAGAGTTAATGTCTCCTTTTATGGAGTTTGTTTTGCTGTTTCTTGTGTCTCCTTAATGGAGTTTATACACTCTTGAACTCATGTGTCGTTTCAAGAGGAGTTGGTTCAGATTTTGTTCTGGTTCCATTGGTGTCAGTTGACACTTTAATTGTACTCTATTGTGTTTCTAAGTTATGAATGTAAAGAGTCTCTCGACCCTTTGGCTTAGGATTATTCAGTTCCATTTTTCATTCAAATCGGTCAATAATATTACAATATGATTAGCCCGAATCCAATCCTGGTTAAAAAATGATCATAATTTACATTGAACTTATACACAACATATATTACTTTTATGCATAGTTTTAAACTCGGACAACTCATTGACTTGGGCTGGATTCTGGGTTACCATGTCACTGGTCTAACCATCGGGTCACCGAGTCAATTTTTTAACCGAGTAATGAATTTTATATAATACATAAAACAATAAAAAGAAATTATTTATATGAAAATTTTATATTCTAAAGTCTTAATAATATAATATTTTATCATAAATATATATCACATGTATACATATATATACATACGTTTATTTTTAAAAATAAAAAGTAAAAAAAAAAAATGGCCGCGTCAAGTCGAGTTAACCCAATCGGGTCGGGTCAATATTTGGGTCGATTGGGTGAAGTCCGAGTCAATTAAAAATGTCCTTAAACCACAATGTGCATAATCAAATTTTTTTCTTTGGTGGCAAATTATTCTCATAGAATCTTT